CCAGCGCCGAGAGCCGGATGAAGCGGGCCCAGCGCTGCTGCAGCCAGGCCGCCAGGGCCAGCAGCACTGTGAACCGCAAGACGCAGCCTTTACTTCTCGTGTGAGAGCCACAGGAGCAGCCAACACCGCTCAGGACGTCCGGCCCTGCCCCTGCCCCTCCCCCGCCACGGCCCCGCATCCTGCACCGTCACACAGCCCAGACCCCAGGGGTATCTCCGGAGCCTGAGGCTCCGTGTGCAGTGCCCACCGCGGCCATTCTCCCCTCCAGTCCCGCTATGCTCCGCACGTCCTGCTGGCTCCGCCCACAGTTCACCGGGAATGGTGCTCTGCTGGCCACCTCCCAGGCATGGTGCGGGCCAGGCCACGCCTCTGTCGGTCAGCACAGAACCCCACGCCCACGCCACCCTGGCCTCCTTGTGGCTCTCCAATCTGCCTGGGGCGCCCCCAGAACACCCACAGCGAGCTGCCACCGGCCCCCAGTCCCTGCAGGGCTGCACAGGGAGCGTCCCAGGTGCTCCCTTTCCTAGAAGGTGCACCTCCCCCTCCCGGGCTGTCCCGTCACTGGGCGTTTCTACGACGCCCCAGGGGAGCAGCGATCGCCTGGCAGGTGCTCGCCGGACACCCACTCACCTGTCACCTGGCAGGTGTGCTCCACGCCCAGCGAGAGGCATGGGAGCCATCGCAGGGCCTGACCGGCGTCAACTACGTACCCACGGGCAGGGCCAGCACGTTGGGGAGCGTCCGCGTGCAGTAGAACATCAGGTGGAACTGCGAGGCCGTCATCCAGCAGAACATGGTGGCCGCCGTGGCCCCGAAATGCCGCCGCACTTCTTTTTGCAAAGTCCAAAGTCCAAAGATCACTCCGAGTCCAAGGACGGCTCTAACTAAACACAGAGGCGACAGGTGTGTGACCGCCCGCGGGTCTGATACTAACGTGCAGGCGTCGGCCAGCGGCCTGGCGACAGTGAAACAACCCTGAGAGGGGAGGGTCTTTGTATTAAAAACGACTGCATGTGGGGAACGGGTGGCCCGGCCCCAACACTTCACTGTGACTGTGAGACGGGGGTAGGGTCCGTACCGGGGTGACGAGCCCGAAACTGGCACCAGAGCCCTCACTTGGCAGGGACACCTCCAGCGCCAAAGGCTCACAGGCCCCCACTGTCCCGCCCAGGGCTCCCCGGCGCCCCCGTGACCAGCCGGCCTGTCTAGCTGCCCGTGTGACTGCAGACTGCGGCCTCCTAGGCTGCCTTCCGAGAGCCCAGCGGCCGCTCCTCGGGGACCTGGCTCCTCGGGGACCTGGCTTGGTCACAGCTCGCCGTCAGGCCAGACAAATGCGCCGTGAGGCCGAGCTTGCATCCGTGGGGGAACGTGAACACGGTGTGGGGTTTGGATACTGCACTGGAGACGGTGCTGCTGGCTGGAAGCTGAGGCTGCAGAGCTCGGCGCAGCGAGCCTTCCAAACGGCCCAGAGGATCTGCACAGGCAGCCTCGGGCGGGTAGGCGCAGACACCCCCAGTTCACAGTGGCGAGGGGCGCCCGGGTGGGTTCCCTGTCCCGGGTCACACCCCAGAAAGGGCTGACATCCGACCTCGCCCGGTGCGCTGAAGCGCGTGCTGCGTGGCCGAGGGCAGGCGGGCCACAGGCGGACAGTGAGCGCGGGGCCACGGGGCCTCCCTCCAGCTGGCGGGTCGCCGGGTCCCACGGCCCTTACCGGTCAGCTGCGGCCCTTACCGGTCAGCTGCGCGTAAAACTTGGACGCGCCCAGCAGCGCCAGCGCGCAGACTCCGGGGCTGGACA